CTTTGTGTATCCGTATAAAAGAACACCTAGATGGCAAACGAAAACTAAGACGAAGCACCCCACTAGGCACGCATAGGATAAAAAAGCATAGCGAAGACGATTTTGAAGTGAGAGCCAGTGTCCTTGCACAGGAGTCCAAAACACCAGAGCGAAAACTCCTAGAGGCTTTTTGGATCAATGCCAAAAACCCTACAATGAATAGCAGGGACGAATGCCCGGAGATCATACGCGACCTGATCCCGTACGTTCGCATCGATTTTTGATGTGGGATGGTGCAGTCGTCAACCACATGCGACTATAATCAGCTGTTCTAAACTTCCTCATTGGAGGTCACGAAAAAGCGGTGGGTTTTTCGAGAAGTTGTTGATCGTGTAGTTACCAAAGAGTCTTTCGTCTTTGTGTAAATGTTATTGAAGCGTTTGGCCTAGTAGATTGTATATCAGTATACCCTTCCATGCTCTGAAGAAGGCGATACTGCCGAAACGTCAGCTAGCGTTGTATTGTATTGTGTTTTTATGGAAGTAAATGGAAATACATAATTATTGAAGTTCAAAGTACAAAACTGCTGAATACAAATTTCTCGAAAGAATATTATATTCATTTAAGGTGTTGGTCTGGCCTTTCTTGCATATCCGGAAGTGGCCAGTAATCTACCAGCAAAGCAAATTTGGTCTTGTCTTTTTTTCCTCATGATCACCATTCTGGGCTTAGACAGCCAGGTACCGTATGCAAACTATATTCCTGTTGAATGCCCATTGCCGAGTCAAATCGGTCGTAAATGGTTATGACATATGTATGCACAAAGTAGTGCTTGCTCCAAAAAGTTACGTGTTCACTAAGGTTCATGTTTAGGTATGTATGATGGAAGGCCTATTCACTGCATTGGAGGATTCGTTCCCATTTATCTTACGAAAACACAAAAAAGTCTCTTTAGCAGTCACGTGCTTAATATTCTTTATCATTGGAATTCCGATGGTTACAAATGTACAAATACTTTATTCATTGTTTTTGGAATTTTTTTTTGAAATTATCGGTTTCCGCTCTTAAATCGGAACGGTTCAGGCTGGTGCTCACTGGCTCCAATTGGTCGATAACTACGGTGCCAGTGGTTATGCGTTGTTATTCGTCGTATTTTTTGAGGTCGTAGGTCTATCATGGGGATTTGGTGAGTACGTACAACTATTTTTTCTATAAATAGATGCTTTTATAAAAAATATCATTGCACACCAATCTTAAAAGTATGCAATACTGCATGGCTTTCAGGTCGGCTTTTAGTGTCATTTACAAAGCTTGCAGTTATTGATTTTCCGTATACATACTATAACAAATGATTGTAATCTATGTATTGCTTCAAACTATTGGTTTCAATTCTTCTTTTATTTGACTACATTTTTTTACTGGAACTGATCCCTTCTAATGTGATCAAGATCAGAACACCTGAAGAACCTTCCACGAGTTCTCGTAAACACACTGGCCCGGTTCTTCGCACGTTACCTGTCTGAATGCAACGTCCCTACTCAGTGGAAGACCAGCAAGACCGTATTATTGTTCAAGAAGGGTGACCTACACGATATCGTCCAATCTGATTGCTGTCTGCCGTCTACGAACTTTTCACTCAAGTCTTCCTAAACAGGATTGGCAGAACAGTAGACGAAGGACAGGCATGTGGGCAAGCAGGGTTTCGAAAAGGATTTAGTCCGTTGGACTACATCCACACGATAACAAGGCTCATTGAAGTACCGCGAGAGTACAGAAGACCGCTCTATCTCGCTTTCATCGATTTACATAAGCCCTTTGATTCAATTGAGATAGAAGCAGTTGTGAAGCCCTTGATGAGGGGTCTCTACTTCGTACATAAAGATTCTTCGTGAGCTTTACAAAAATTTCACAACCAAGATATCACCATTCTACAACGATGTCAACATTGACGTTCAAAGATGAATTAGCAAGGCGATACTATCTCGCCAAAATTATTTACCACCACGCTCCAGAACGTCACTCGAACATTGGAATGGGATAATTTGGGAGTGCTTTCAAGAGCATAGATGTATAAGAGAACAAAGAGCACCCGACTCCGTGCCCGTCTTTTCGACTCAACGGTACTTCCTGCCCTAACGTATACATCAGAAACCTGGTCGCTGCGTAAGCAGGATGAAAGGTCACTCAGTCCTATTGAACACGCAATCGAAAGGACGATGCTAGGAGTATCACGTTTTGCACAAGTAAGGGATTGGATCCGCGTCAACGATCAAAAATCGAAGATGCCCTTCTGTAGGCCAAACAGTCGAAGATGAGGTGTGCCGGACACGTAATGCGTATGAATGACAACCGATGGACAAGAGCCGTTAGTGACTAGGTTCCTCGGGATGTCAAACATACTGCATGAAGACCACGACCCGATGTTCAGAGTTCTTCACGAAAAGCGTAGAAGAAAGATATGATGCTCAACGAGTTTCTAGAGTGAGCAGAATCCACTGGGCTACTCTTGTACGCGATAGGGAAAAATGGAAGATTTACTGGCGCTCGCTCGAGTCACTCGATGTCCAATGGGACTACAGGTGATACAGGTGATCTCTTCTAAAAGCTTTGCCTTTCTATCGTAGCTGCTAGCGTTCCTGCATGTTGGAGCCACGATGAGGGACTCCTCTCCGCATCAGGGTCACTTAAGCAGAGAAAAGGTTCAAGGGTGTGACGTTCGATTTAGTAAGCTCACCTAAGTATAATGCAGTGAAAGAGCAGTGTTCGGTGAGCCTCATTTGCTACCTTTATGACGGAAACTGCACAAATAGAACGTCATGCAAAAATCTTGAAGCAATTTCCGTCCATTGTACCAACGAAATTCACTGAGCTTATGAAGCTAGCCTGAATTATTCGATGACCGACGAGACCATATACTTGCAAAACGAGAAGGAAACGAACATTTTTTCAAACATGTTAAGTGAGAATTTGTTTAGGTTCTGTAGATATTATGTGTTGATTATTTTAAACAAGAACCATGCGCAGGCTTAATTTTAGGGGCCGAACGAATTCTTGCTGCAATGAAGGAGATGGTTGGCATCAAACTCTCCTATCCATGGATCATCATATGGAAATTCGCTGCTCCATCAACATGTGCTGTAAGTTTGTCATAAGTTTGATGTAGAGGCTGTTATGCAGATGATTTCTTCACTAAGAAACCTAGCATTTTCATTTAACGGAAATCTTACAATAACTCACTACCGTAGTTTTTCAAAACGTATCATAAATTGTATGAAAACTACGGCATATTTCTTGTATTCAGTATTTAGTGAGCTTAAGCGTTCATTCACCTGGTTGCCATTAGCCCAAGAACGACAACGTTGACAAAAGTAAACTCCACTCCGAATATTGATCGGTAGCTCAAACTCTCATTTGTTTCAGAACGAACATTGTAGTGCGTTAATAGCTGATGGCACCGTTAGGGTAAAAAATTGCCTGAGAGAAAGGGCCTCGGCGCTTCAATGAGTAACACATAAAGCTGTAAGATAAGGTCATCGCAGGTTCGAGTCTGGCCTGGGGTATAAGTTTGGCAAATATCTCAGTATTATTGTGGCTTTATTCACATAATACCCTGCCATGAAAAAACAATGGACAGTAAATAAAAGCTATATGAAATTGATGTTTTCACCGTACGGTTTTTGTAAAGCTCTTTTTTCTGAACATTTCTGCAAAACTTTAACGGTGTGTGAAGTTACAGCAGCGCATTGGTTCGCGTTGCTCTGCCTGACTTATCTGAGAGGATAAAAAGACATGGACTCTATCTATTGGCAGAGTCCCGGAGGTTACCGTTTAGGCCGGGGATCCACACATCGAACGCTGAGCACTTTAATCCCTATACTGTCGACAAATAGACATCATTAATATAATTTAACCTACTTGTTTATTTTCTCAGACGATTTGTCATCGTATATTTTGTGAATTCTAGCACATCTTGAATTTCGTCTATTGTCTCGCATTTTTCATCCCAAAGGTTTTCGGGTCTGTGCATGGGTTTGGGTACTGCATCAAATTTTCCTCTTTCATATATATCGCTGAATTGTGGTCGACTTTACTTTCTCTGAAGAATATTATAGCTGTGTTAGAACATTTCCTGAAATTAACCACAGGTATTTTTAGTGAATGAAAGGGATTTTCCCAATGTAGGTCTGGTGACGGTGACATTTTAGTGACTCCGGATGGTTGAGAAGCTTGCTTGGACCGGTGCAAAATTGAACAAGAGGCAGTACGGATAGTTAACTCCTCCTCTAACCACTGCGCTACTTGTACTCTCATCATTCTTATTGATGATGTTTATTTCTGCGTTTCTTACCGAATTTTTTCAGGTTTTGTTCTTCTTCTGTGTTATCTACTACCAACCGCTCAAATATCCGAACGGCACTGATTATCCGGTCTGGGCGAATGTTTTCGGTCTTTTTTTGTCATCATGTTCGATGATCGTCATTCCTGCCTATGCCGTCTACTACTTGTTATTCACTAATAAACAAATGTCTGTTAAAAATGTAAGTTTGGGCTTTGTAAGAAAAAATTGCACTCTTGGAGAACTCACTCTTCGCTCCTGCGTCCGAATCGAAAGGGATCCTGTCTGCTGTTGAGTTTAACTGAACTCGCTAAAAAATTGCGCGGTTTATTTCAACCACAAAGATTATAAGTTTTGCAATTTAATCGATTCTGAAATATAATCAATCTATTTATCGGTGTCGTTCTGTCGTTTTGTGACAAAGAGGTATCCAATCCAGATGAAAACATTCCTTTATTAGAACTTGAAAGAAATCGCGTATTCTAATGGTTAGTATCTGATGGCTTGAATTGATCGCATTGTAGTTATGGAACTTTTATTATTTCTAGAACAGCGACGCCTATATATTTTCAATGACTCGTTTCTAAAATAAAATTCAAAGTTCTCTTAGGAATTCTTTACCGTAAACACTAAGAAAATCCACCACTATTTAAAAACACTTACAACGTTGCTGAGATATTTGCAAAACTCTGGACCGCAGGTGTCTATGGTGGGGAACGAACGCGCTATTATCCTTTCCGGGGAGTAACGCGTTCACCACCACACCATGCGGGTCCTTTGTTTCGCACGTCTCTCAGCTATTTCTATCGATCTTTTTGCCACAGCAATCACCCGTCAGCGGGGTTGATCTGGGGAGCGCAAATCGGCATAGAACCCAGTTAAGCTATGGCTGTAGTTGAAATCACAATGTTTAACGTTTTTGTTTTCTGCCTTCTATAATT